GACTCCTGTGAAAAATCCTAGCCTTTAAGTTTATTAACATTTAATGCAAAATGTAAGAGGTAAAAACAAAAGCATTTTCAGATGGAATAGAAACAATTTCAATATAATGTATACATTTTTCTACTAAGAACAAATAATTATCAGTACTGCTGTCTCTCACATTTTAAATGAAGAATTTATCCATGCAGTACTGTGATCACCATTTTATTTTAAATTGCCAAGTTACCACAGTTACTTTGCCTTTTAAGTATAGGGAAAACTGGTATCTCAGGTACTGTGCTGAGGCAGTATGGGTTTTTTATATGATGACAGTTTTGCATAGGTGTTATGGAAGGGTTTAGTTTTAGCTAACGTTTTTCAAGCTGTGATTTTTAGGATGTTAAGAATATAGGAAATGCACTGAAGATAGTAATTACTATTTTGTATTAACGTATCCTGAAAGCCAATCTAATGTGCCATGAGTCTTTATAATATTAGAGAAGAAAACAGTCTTTCACTAGCAATGGAAATTGACTTTGCATTCAAGTCATCCACTTAATGTTAAAACAACTACTAAATCTAGATTCATAGATGATTGGGCCCGAAGGGACCATTATGATCACTTAGTCTGCCTTCCTTTATTACACAGGCCATAGAATGTCCCCAAAATAAGCCCTAGAACATATCGTTTAGAAAAGCATCCAGTCTTGATTTAAAAATTGTCTGCGATGGAGAATCCACGATGACACTTGATAAATTATTCCAATGATTAATTATTCTCACCATTTAAAATGTATACCTTATTTCCAGTCTGAATTTGTGTAGCTTCAACTTCCAACCATTGGCTCATGTTATACCTTTCTCTACTAAACTGAAGAGCCTGTTGTTATTAAATATTATTTCCCCATGTAGGTACTTATAGACTATCATCATGTCATCTCTTAACATTCTCTTTGTTAAGCGAAATAGATTGAGCTCCTTGTGTTTATCACTATAAGGCATGTTTTCTAATAATTTAAGGGTTCTTGTGGCTCTTCTCTGAACCCACTCCAATTTATCAACATCTTTCTTGAATTGTGAAAACCACAATTGTGATCCAGCGACGACCTCAGCCAGCTCTTTTAAACTTGTTAAGATTTGGGTGCAAGTTATCTGGACCAGCTAATTTAAAAATGTCTGTCTTTAGTAGCTTCTGTTTAACATCTTCTAGAGATATTAATGGAATGGAAAGAGTGTTATCACCACATGATGAGACTGCATCATCTGATTTTTTCCCAAATGAAGAACAGAAATATTTAATGACTATCTCTACCTTTTCTGCATTATTATTGATAATTCTACCATTTCCATCAAGTAATGGATGAATACCATTGTCAGGATTCTTTTTGTTCCTAATATATTTAAAAAAAACTCCTTATTGTCCTTAACTTTGCTAGGCATAGCTTTCTCCTGGTATCCCTTGGCTTCTCTTATTAATTTTATACAATTCCTAACTTATGATTTATATTCATTACTATCAACTAAAATCTAAACAATCCAAAATATTTAAAAATAATTGTCTCTTGGAAGAGCTTTCCAAGGAAGAAAAGGAAATTCATGATACCCAGAAAATGGAAGCAAAGAAGGAAGCTAATGATAAATTATTAATAGAATGCAATGATCGTGATACACATGAAGTAGATTGTGCAGATAAAATGGTATGTGGAATTTAATAATCCACTGATAAATGTTAAACTTAATTGAACACATCAGTAATTAGCAAAGATATGAAAGTAATGGCTAACCATGAGAATATCCATATCTGAGCAATTGGGTTAGTTGTGTGAAGAACACTGATGGAGAAGGAAGCCTAGTGAGATGGACATTACAGTAGTATTATATTCTAATAAAAGTACTTCATGGATTTTAGCCAAGGAGTGAAATGTCAAATGTTTATAATATTCAACGAGTAAAACTGACAAGTTACCAACTGAGTTAATGTGAGCACTCAATTTTGAAATAAAAATTCTAAAGACGCTCTTGGTAGGTTCTGGAGATATACTTTAAATAGTTCATCTATAGACATGGCCAATAAGATAAACCAATAGTAATCTCTAAGAACATAACCAAAATATTAGTCATACGTGTTTAATTAAAAAATTATACTAATCTGTAGTGTTATACAGACATAGTCTTGATATTTGCAAACATCAGAAAAGTAGGAAAAAGAAAATTTAAACCTCATTATTGTCTGTCAGAATGGTATTTATCTGTGTAGCTGAATTATGAGCAATACCAGAACAGAGTTCTGCAGCATTCACCAGAGACATGAGTGTAGGAAAAAGTCTCTTTACAAATGTCATGAAAACAATGGCTACAAAAGAAAGATATCTAACACTGTACAGCAAGACTCTGAAACCTCCAAAATAGAAAACAAGTAATACAGTAGATGAGAATACTGTTTTAAATACCATAAAATCTAGCAAAGTTAAGGCTAAAGATAGGCCTTGTGATCTTGAGGGGATCAAATCCTTCAAAACTTTGTGTTACGCTTTCTGTAGAATGGACGTCTTTGAACCCAGATTTGAGAAACAGAGCAAGACTAAAGAAGTGGCAAAATCTGTGTAATGAATCAGCTTTGAAGCAATTGAAAGTAAAGTAGTAAAATTACAGTTAGAACTTAATATAGTTTCTTTGAAAATGGCATTAACTGTGACTAGCCTATTTAAAAACATTGTAGAGGAAAACATCTTGTATTGCAACAAGGAATTGACATTAACAAGTAGTTGCTCATTAAACTGACCATTATAGAAGCAGACTCAAACAACATGGTTCATGGAACAAGTAATAAGATCTCAGTCCTACACTGCTTAGCTGTCAATGTCATACAAATCTTTCAATGCCTTTTAATGAATCCTGACTCTCCTGGAAAGTTGTGACTTTGTCTCAACTTCAACCAGCTAAATGTTAAACAGTGCTTCGTTTGGGCAAAAGGATCATCTTCAAACACAACTCCTCCTCTTTGGCATATCTCTTCAACTCAAACCTTCCATCTGCCTATGATTTCTATAAACTTGCTATTACTTTTTAATCTGAATTTTCCTTCTCTTTATATCACTCCCACACATTGCTTTACTCGATGCAGTGTAAGCTGAAGTCCTCACCCGTGCCTTCATATAATTGAATTTACTCAAGGATTGGCATTAGCAAGAAAAAAGAGTACAACAGCCTACAGGATTAATTCTTGAATTTATCAGAATCAGTGCTTAAGTGACTTTAAGCCCCTGTAGTCAGATGAAGTGGGAATGAACTGTTTAAACACAGAGAAAAATTAAAATGTGATCAGAGAATTGGACTGCAAATGAGGCCAGAAGTTGTGGACAGTATTGCTTTGAGATCAGAAGATCCAGGCAGTTGTTAGTAAAGGGAGTGACCCCTGTGTCCAATTTATAAAATTAAATGAATCAAATAAGGCATGAAAAAGAATTACAAAACGCTCATAGAAGTGAGATAAAATCATCTATTTCCAATAGGGGAAACACAAGATAAATATGACAAACACCACTATTCAAATTTCAGTAGGTGACTGACAGAGGCACCTAGAGGGCAGTAGATAATAGAAACTGGAAAACAAGGTAGAGCTAACTGTGCCAAATGGTACTCAAAAGTAGTTAGTAGTAGTAAACAACTGGCAATGAGTATGGAGGTGTCAGCAGAGTATATGTACAAGGTATCAGGCTAATCATAGAGATAAATACCAATTTGGGGATAGTTGAAACTATATGGGGAGGTCAGGTAAGGTTCCTGACTGCCATAAACATTCAGGTGAAGGCACCACCAGTTAGTAGCTAAAAACCACTGCGGCCAAAGCAGAAGCACACTGGGTAAGGGTTCTTGTTGATGATTAGAAGGTACAGCAACCCATAAAATCCCATGATGGTGATGAGAAGAAAAAATAGAGGAAATACCCTAGTACCAGAAATAAAACTCTGTTGTTATGCGCAAGGAGCTATTCCTAGACCTGTGACTCCAGTAGGCTTTTACTTTGGGTTGGAAAATTAAGACAGTAAAATTAATGTGTATAGAAAGTTGGGCCACTATGGGTATTCTTGTGGAAATCCAAAGGAAATCCAAGCCTAACTTGAATGAGCCGTTATTGCTGACAACGGGTTAAAGCTATGCTATTTTGCCAGACACTGGCTTAGCAACACAGCTGCTTTGAAGACATTGCTTGGAGCATCCCTCCCACGGCAACAGGAGCAAAAAGCTACTGCTAAATTCCACTGAACTGTTAATGGGTCTTCACATTCCAAGAAAGGCACAGGATTTCAACTCCAACACAGTCAGTAGCATGCATCTCACCTTGGGGTGAGGAAGCTTTCCTCTTAACTGCAACTCATTTCTAAAGACAGAAACATGCTACACCAAATCCTGGAACAAAACTTTGAAAGAATATTTGAGTTTTAAGTTTAACTTACAAAACATTCTATTTTATTTTCCTCTTTTTATTGAAGGTTTGTTTACAAGCTATAATAAATGACAAATATTACTGTGAATGTTGAGTAAAAGTTTAAGTATTTTTATTAGTTTCCAGTGATAAACAATATGCAGAATTGCCATTTCCCTGCTGCCACTTAGCAGGAATAGGTACAGTGGCAAGAATGATGGTCTCAGCATCTCTTTAGATTAAACATAAAATAAATCATAGCATCTCTAGAGATTTTTTCATTTTGTTCAAAGTCATTAAAGAAGATTATTGTTCCAAAGTATGTAGAACTCATATCTTTAACATGCATACAGCTACACGAGGGGGTTTAAAAACTTAAATCTAAATCAGCCTGGCTGAAACTCAGATTTCAAGTGAGTGTATGGTACGCAGTGTAGTTGTTGGAGCAGGGGGTATGCTGGGAAGCATACAAGCTTACAGGGGATTTTGAATCAATCTGCAGAGATGGGAGTAAGCCATCAGAGTACTGAGCAAATGTTCTGTGCTATGTGGAGTGTAAAATTCTACAGAACTTTTTTCTTTTTCCTTCATTTAGGTTAATGGCACGGATGCAGATTATGAATATGAAGAAATTACACTTGAAAGGGTAATACTCTAAATGCTATTCCATACATTGTATTTGGAAGGAAATTCATACTATTTGTATATTGAAAGATTGGCCTCTTGATTTCCTGCGGTTAAATAGCAATACTGTTTATTTTTAGATCTATTAATTTAACCTAAATATGAAATATATTGAATAGTGAGTATGAAAAGCACACAAATATTTTTGTGCTCAAGATTTCTGGCGATTTTTGTTAACAGTTTGAGCATTCCACATTTAACAATAAAACTCATTGTCGTTGTAATTTCCATTGTCCTTCCATGAGCTTGCATTCCACTTAGAGCCATAGCATTGTCAAACAAGCCCTGCAGCTTATTTGTAAATGTCAAATAAAATAAACAGACGCTAAATCTAGCAGAGTAGTAGTACTCAGTAAATAGCACAGAGTGGGAGACCCAGATTTTGTTAAGGCACCTAGCCTCTTTTATAATCAGTCAGCAGAAATGGAGGGGTTCAACAGAGACCCTTCTCATTCAAGAAGTAATGTTGACAAACTCTAGAATACGAATTTCAGATCAGATCTTAATGAGGAAATGAGAATTTTTATTTCTGTTATGATGTCTTGATGTGGCGAGTGGTGATTTAAAGCAAGGGAAATAGAGGAAATTCACAGCTTCATCTGTGGTGCAAACTGTTTACTCCCCTTTTGTCCCCTGGGAGGATTTGTGGGAGTAGGGAGCAAGAAACATCTTTGGGTAAAATAGCATATAAAAGAATCCAAAATTAATAGAAAGATTTTGTACTTTCTCCTTTACCTTAAAAATAAATCTGAAATGAACTGAAAATATTAATACATTATTGACTGGAATACCAACATGTTATAGAGACACAGATGATGTAGCCACAGTAACTAATTATTTTGAGAGGTCATGGTGGTGGTTAATGTGCAGTGCAGATGGGAAGCGATCAGCTCACTGCTCTAGGATGAGCTGCACTCTCCATTTGAGAATTTTAAAAATCTCTTTGAGCTGCATAATTGCAATATTTGTTCTAGTTTGACTGAGTTCACAAGTGAAACAGAAGTGGTCTTGGTCTAGTCCACTCGTTTATCCACTTTATAAAACTATCAGCCATATGGCCATGATTACTCTACTTGGCAGAAGACAGATACTGAAACAGCTTCTGTGTTAGTGTAAGACTGAGATACTTTGATAGAGCAAGGTGGGGAAGCATCTAACAGCGTAGCTTTATAGCACAGTAATTTTGTAGTGTGAACCACAGAAGGTTTAGGACAGTAATATAGGCAAGTCAGCAGTGAGCTGCTATTTTAAATCAAATAGAGTATATTTAGATCAGGCTTTAAAACATATACTTTAACATTCATAATGTTTTATGTTTTTCACATTCTCCCCCCCCCCCCCCTTGAAACGATAAAAGGAAGAGAGAAGGATATTTGCTGAAAACAATAAGCACAGTAGCATTTCAACAAAATATCAGGTGTTTCACAGAATCAGACATTCCAGTTCCTGCAGTGTGTGTATGTTTGGAGCAGTTTTTCAACAGATGGATTCTTTTGTCTCAAAAGAGGAAACCACAGTAGCTATTATTGATTAGTTGTTATTGTTAACATGAACATTGACACAATCTCACTTGTTCCTGTAGTGATAAACAAATTTGAGTTTACACCAAAGTAGAAACTGTTTCTCTGTTATTTTTGAAAGGCATGTCAGCCTTTCACCATTTTTTCCAAAATAATAAAAATAAATGTTATCCTGTAGTACATAATATATTCTCAGCATTCCACTAGGAGTGGAATTACATCTGTTTGATAAAACATAAGATGTTTTCTCTCCTGATTTGCTTTTACCCTACTTATTTTTAAAAGAAAATTATGCAAATAAGTGATATTTATTTTTCAGGGAAATTCAGGGCTTGGCTTTAGCATTGCAGGTGGTACGGACAACCCACACATTGGGGATGACTCAAGTATTTTCATTACAAAAATCATAGCAGGGGGTGCAGCTGCTCAGGATGGAAGATTACGGTATGTCAACTGTGTTATTGAATGCAGTGCCTTTTATTAGAAGGGAAAGGACAAAATATTTTCATGTGGTTTTATTTTTTTTTTCTTTTACTGGTATAATTTAAAAGAAGCAATACTCTATAATTTATGCAGAGTTTATTTTGTAAGTAACGTAAATAAGTTTTTACTTCAATGAAAGGGTTTATTTGTTTTGTATTTAATCCAACATCTCTAATTTAGTGAATTCAGTTTTCTGTCATATGGTGTAAATATATTGTACCAATTTCTTGGTCTTCCTTAATTCATTAGGACTGTTGACAACAGGTAAGTATTTAGTTTAAGAGCATAATAATAAATATAATAATAATAATAATCATAATAATATAATAATTTTGGGGGATAATAATAATAATAATATAATAATGTGGAGGGTGGGGAGGGATAGCTCAGTGGTTTGAGCATTGGCCTGCTAAACCCAGGGTTGTGAGTTCAATCCTTGAGGGGGCCACTTCGGGATCTGGGGCAAAATCAGTACTTGGTCCTGCTAGTGAAGGCAGGGGGCTGGACTCGATGACCTTTAAGGTCGCTTCCAGTTCTAGAAGATAGGATATCTCCATTAATTATTATTATTATTAGCACCTCTCCCTGCTCTCCAAGTGAGCCAGTATCTAGGGAAGCCCTGCACCTCTGGATGGAGAGCCGAGAACCTGCAAGGTGGGAGAATATACAGAGAACTCACTGCTGAGACTGGGATGAGGAGTTGAGAATGGGTATGCTTGATGCATATCACAATCTCTCCAACACTGGGGAGAGGGGACGGGAACACCCACTGACATAAAAGGAGCATTTAACATATCTGAGAGCTGTTGTTTCTGGTTGTATTCATCTGCAGGAGGTGTTCCCATTCAGTTGAGACCATCTCATTGAGAATAATGGGCCTCTCCATGTCTCTCTGAGTCTCCTATGCAGCAGATGGATGTGGAGAGCTATAGTTAAGGTTGGGAAGCCCTTTGCAGATCTCAGATCATAATTAAACTTCTACAAGCTCCTCCAGCTATTGCTTCCACCATTCGGCACAGCTACACCTAATACAGTGAATGCACCTGGAGTGCATTCAGATCATTTCCAGTGACTATTGCCAGCTCTAGGCGGTCAGAGTTAAGGCGGCTTTGGCAGGTACCTTAATTCTGTATTTCCTGATTTGCAGAGGTTTGAATTTTGCTAAACTTGACCTTCTGGAATGGCATGAGATAACTCTGGGCAACCTTAATTGCATTAATGAAGGTTTATGTCAGTGACTAATACTTACACAGTGTAGTTCTGCAGATAAAACTAATTTAGTTCCATTTTTGATTTCAGCATTTGGACTTCTTTACTTCACTTTCTAGTATGTTTCTTGTAGAAGTTAACTGAAATCTTAATGTTTATCATTATAAACTAATTACAAATTATCATTACGCATTACTCAATACCCACATGCGTCTGACAAAGTGGGTATTCATCCACGAAAGCTTATGCTCCAATACGTCTGTTAATCTATAAGGTGCCACAGGACTCTTTGTCGCTTTTTACAGATCCAGACTAACACGGCTACCCCTCTGATCAATAGCATTAGTTATCAGTGGTTTGCTATCAGATTGTCAGATCATATCTAGTGAGGTCTCATAGTTGTCTGTCCTGGGTCCAGTACTATTCCATTAATGACTTGGATGATGGAGCATAGAGTATGCTTATAAAATTTGGGAATGATACCAAGCTGGGAGGGGTTGCAAGCATTTTGAAGGACAGAATTAGAATTCAAAGTGATCTTGATAAATTTGATGATTGATCTGAAATTGAGAAGATGAAATTCCATACAGAACTGTACAAAGTACTACACTTAGGAAGGAAAAATGGAGATGAATGAATGCAAATGGAGAACACTGTGTTAGTGCTGCAGACAAGGATCTGGGAGTTATAGAATCGTAGAAATGTAGGGCTGGATGGGACCTCAGAAAGTCAAGTCCAGCACCTTGCCTGTGGCAGGACCAAGTAAATTAGACTATCTATGACATGTTTGTCCAACTTGTTCTTCAAAACCTCCAGTGACAGGAATTCCATAACCCCCCATAGTAACATATTCCAGTTGTGACGGGTTGGATCACAGAAACCCCCTTGGGAGCTGCCACCCAATGTGCCAAGACTACCCCTGCTTCTGTTTTCCCTGCCAGCTCAGGACTCCAGCACCCCGTCTTGCTGAGTCAGACACTCCTGTCTGGCTCTAACACAGACCAAGGGTCTGAATCACTTGTCCCAAAGCTGCAAGTTTACCCAAAAACAGCTCACAGGAGTGTGCTTGTCTTTAGCACTCAGATGCCCAACTCCCAATGGGGTCTAAACCCAGATAAATCCGTTTTACCCTGCATAAAGCTTATGCAGGGCAAACTCATAAATTGTTCGCCCTCTATAACACTGATAGAGAGATATGCACAGTTGTTTGCTCCCCCAGGTATTAATACATACTCTGAGTAAATTGCTAAATAAAAAGTGATTTTATTAAATACAGACAGTAGGATTTAAGTGGTTCAAAGTAGTAACAGACAGAACAAAGTAAGTCACAAGCAAAATAAAATAAAATGCGCAAATCTATGCCTAATCAAACTAAATACAGATAAGTTCCTCACCAGTTCCAGCATGCTCCCTTTTACAGGCTAATCTCCCTTTAGCCTGGGTCCAGCAATCTCTCACAACCCCTGTAGTTACTGTCTTTCGTTTCAGTTTCTTTCAAGCATCCTGGGGGGGTGGAGAGGCTCTTTCTTTAGCCAGCTGAAGACAAAATGGAGGGGTCTCCCCCAGGGTTAAATAGACTCTCTCTTGTGGGAGGAGACCCCCCTCCTCCCTCCTATGCAAAGTCCAGCTCCAAGATGGAGTTCTGGAGTCACCTGGGCAAGTCACATGTCCCTGCATGACTCAGTCTTTACAGGCTGAAGCCATTGCCCACATGGAATCTTGCATGTCTCCAGGAAGACTTCTTATGTGGATTGGAGCATTCCAAGATGCATTGTTCCCCCAAGTGTTTCCTGATCAGGTACTTAACCTGGCGAATTCCTTCCTAAAGAAGCTGACCAAATGCCTCCCAAAGCTTACTTAGAAACCAAGCAAGCATACAGCCCATATTCTTAACCTCAGGTAGAAAATGATATATATATGTACAAACAGGATGAATAGATATAGTAGACCATAACCTTTACGGAGATATGTTACCTGGCACAGGCAGCAC